CCCCAAAATCCCGATTTTCCCCCCAAATCCCGGTTTTTCCCCCCAGACAGGGCCCCCCAAACCCCCCGCCCCCCTCGGGCCGCATTCCTCCCGTGCCGCCCCCGGGAATGCGGCCGGACAAAGGGACAAAGGCCACTCTGTCCCCGTCCCCCTCACGTCCCTAAATGTCCCCTTTGAGGGTCCCCCCCCGCTCCCCGATCCCATTGGCCGCTTTTTGGGGGTGCAGCTGTCCCCGTGCCACCCTTAAACCTCGTGGCCGCCGCTGTCGCCTCCGTGTCACCGCCAGGATGTCCCCGAGGGCCACCCGCCACCTCCTCCTGCTGGCCGGGCTGGTGGCGGCGCTGGGTGAGCTTGGGGACAAGGGACATGTCCCCGGAGAGGGGCGGCGGGAGGGGGACGGGGGGGTTTGGGGGGGGCCAGGGGGGTCACCAAGCTGGGGACTATTGGGGGAGTGCCACCAAGGGGTCACCAAGCTGGGGACTATTGGGGGAGTGCCACCAAGGGGTCACCAAGCTGGGGACTATTGGGGGAGTGCCACCAAGGGGTCACCAAGCTGGGGACTATTGGGGGAGTGCCACCAAGGGGTCACCAAGCTGGGGACTATTGGGGGAGTGCCACCAAGGGGTCACCAAGCTGGGGACTATTGGGGGAGTGCCACCAAGGGGTCACCAAGCTGGGGACTATTGGGGGAGTGCCACCAAGGGGTCACCAAGCTGGGGACTATTGGGGGAGTGCCACCAAGGGGTCACCAAGCTGGGGACTATTGGGGGAGTGCCACCAAGGGGTCACCAAGCTGGGGACTATTGGGGGAGTGCCACCAAGGGGTCACCAAGCTGGGGACTATTGGGGGAGTGCCACCAAGGGGTCACCAAGCTGGGGACTATTGGGGGAGTGCCACCAAGGGGTCACCAAGCTGGGGACTATTGGGGGAGTGCCACCAAGGGGTCACCAAGCTGGGGACTATTGGGGGAGTGCCACCAAGGGGTCACCAAGCTGGGGACTATTGGGGGAGTGCCACCAAGGTGTCACCAAGCTGGGGACAGGGGATCCCAAGGGTGTCACCAAGCTGGGGACAGGAGGGTTTGGGGTCCCAGAAGTGTCACTAAGCTGGGGACAATTGGGGGAGTGTCAGGAGGGTCCCAGAGGTGTCACCAAGCTGGGGACAATTGAGGGAGTGCCACCAAGGTGTCACCAAGCTGGGGACAGGAGGGTTTGGGGGTGCCAGAAGTGTCACCAAGCTGGGGACAGGGGGTCCCAGAGGTGTCACCAAGCTGGGGACAATTGGGGGAGTGCCACCAAGGTGTCACCAAGCTGGGGACAGG